AACTATAACTTATCTTATTAAAAAATATATATAAAACTTTAGTGTGATTTATTTAAGTTATTTATATATTACAATTATTTAATTTAATGAAGACACGTCATTTTTATACTTTCATAATCTATATTAAGTGGTAAAGATGTTAATTGTATTTTTAAATTTTACATGTATCTTCGTGACTTTTAGCCTTTCTTATTTTATGTCGCATGAATATTATCGTTTCTAATAAAAGTGGATGAGTACGTAGAGCTGAAACAATAGGGAGGGAAGTGATAAAATCAAAAGAATGAATTTATTCGATTATATTTATATATATTTTATTTATTTATTTATTTTGGAATTCAACTTTTCAAAAGTTTTATGAAAATGTTTTGAAAATATTTTAAAAATTCAAAAAAAAAATTAACCTTTTGGTAAACTTTTTAAAAGATTTCCAAAATCAAAAATTTAAAACCTTTTTTTAATTAATCTTTCTAAAAACTTTTCTTATATGTTTTGGAATAATTTTAAAAAAATTAATATTTTTGAGAAGTTCAATTAAAAAGAATTTGAAATAATTTTTCTTACGTTTAGTTTATGTTATTATTTTAGCTGAATATGAAACTGAGTAAGAAAGAGTGGAGGAAGAAATAAATGCAATTTTGCATATGGTCTTTCCAATGCTTTTTACTCATGGGCTTTGGGCCTTGTCCACTAAGTTGTGTAAGTATTTCAATGGTTATTGGACTGGTTTGTTTATATGTATTTTAAATAATAATAATAATATTATAAAATAATTTTATATATTTTATTTGTTTGTCTAGTCTATTTTTTATATAAGTTATTTTTTATAATTAATTATTTCAAAAACATTTATTTTAAGTTTAAATAATTTATCCATTAACTCAAGCAAAATCATGTTTTAAAAGTACATGTTGATTTCTTTCACGATGTTTTGCATTAATAATATATTAAAAAAATATACAATAATAGGTCAATTTTAGCCCCTTGTGTAAAACTTCGTTGACACAACTTAATCTAAATCTAATTTCAATTTAGAGAATGCGTTTACTGCGTGAAAGATTAAAACTTTAGAATAACTAATTTTGGCCATGCATTTAAAATAATGAAATTCCTCTACTAAAATCATATTAAATAAATACCAGATCCTCTAATTAAAAAAAATATACTTCATTTTAAAATTAATTATATATAATAGGCTAATAATTTAATCATATATTTCATAGTTATTTATTTATTTTTTATATAAAATAATGTTTGCTTAAAAATATGATTCTTATATTTTGTAAGATAATTTATTATTTAGTGAGTATAGTTAATATGATATATTTACTAAAAGCTATTTATTTATTATATTCAAAAATTACTATTTTTAATTTTATATCAGTTTAGCCTGTAATATTTTTTTAAAAACAAAATAAAAAAAATAATATCATTTTATTAAAATAGAATAAAATAAGTCTCATTTATTAAATATAAAGATGGATATATATATATATATATATATATATATATATATATATATATGTGTTTTTTATTTTAAAGATAAGGACATATTTTTAGAGAAAATATTGACATATTTTAAAAAATAATTGTTTTATGAGATTATAATATACAATTGTTTAAAGAGATTATAATAACTCTTTAATAAAAAAAAGTATTTTTATTTTACCATAATTCTTACCGCTCTTTTTTGCTTCTGTCCCGTGTGATTAAATAATCAAATAGATTTTTGAAGATATAAATTGGTGTTAATTTGTAAACATTTACAGAAAATAAAAATTTTGATAAATAAAAATGAGTGTTATTTACTTTATTGAAGTTGACATATTCCAAGTTTATTTTTGAAGATAAACTTTTTCTATTTTTAAACTTCTTTTTTTATTTCTCTCATTTAGTCTAAATGCAATAATAATGGACCATTTTTTTTTTCCTAACAATTTTTTATATATAAATTTAAATTCGTACAAAACTACGAGACGTAAGTGAAAATTTATGATGCCACCACCACATCCACTAAGCAATATCCAGAGCATATCAAACCAACTAAAACAAAAAATATATATAAATTATAATACACAGAAACCGACTTAAATTAGTGGTTTATTGGTCAATATTTAGTTGTTCAATTATTAAAAAATTTAATAATAATAATAATAATAATTACCTTTGGTTTAAAAATATATTTTTAAGATAAATTAATATGTACATAAAGTAAAATATAAAAAAAATTATTTTTATATTATTGATATAAATCAATTTTCTGAATAAATCAATTTTTAAAAGAATCTCAATCATATTTAAATGAAACTTCCTTTTAATTCACTTACAATGTAGTTTTAGTTTATTTAAAACAAAAAATAAACATTATTAAAGAATGTCAAAACAAGAGAAAATGGCCGTAGAAAAACACGCGAAAGCATCCAAGGATTTTGCATAAATAACCAAAACATCATCATTTTCTTGGAATTTTGGTATACAGGAGTAATTTTTAATAAAAATATGTCTATCTTTTTAATAATTAATATATTTTATTTTTAAAATTATAATAGAGATTATCTTTTTTTAATTTTAAAAACTTATACTTAAAAGTTTATTAAAAGTATTGTTATTAATAAATAAAATAATAAATATTTTTTTCCTCTATCTCTACCATTTATTATTATTATTATTATTATTATTATTATTATTATTATTATTATTATTATTATTATTATTATTATTATTATTATTATTATTATTATTATTATATTCATATTAAGTTGAACCCCATAGAAACACAAGTACACAGCATAGTCAATCTTATTAAGCTTTGAATGGTCGAATGTGGAAGGAAGGTGTTGCGCCAAGAACGGATGAATTAGAAACGAAGCAGCCACAGCTTTTCTTGTTCAACACCTATCAAATGCAAACCCACCCTCTTTCTTAATTATTTGCTGTTCCTTTCTTCCTTCTCATCACTACCATTCCTTGCTGCTCCCCAGAGGCCAGTATCACATCAATTTTATCAATTTTCGGCTTTTTCCTAGATTTTCTGTTTCATTTTTCAAATGGATGTTTCAGTTTTCCTTCTGATGCTGAATTATTATTTTTTTTTAGGTTTTTGTTCTTGATCCAAATTTATTTTTTTCTTGATGGTTTGGTAGATTCAGGGATTTCCCTCTCGTTTGGTTGTTGTCCATCACCCTTGTTCTGGCATGTTCTTTACATGTGCTGTGTTTGCATGAATTAAACATTCTGTGTTTTTTATTATGTGAGCTGAAATTTTGAATTGCGGTGGATAGCAATTGCCGTGGATTGTTTTCTAATGAAGAAGTTTGTGGTTGTAGCCGAACAATTTCGTTGATTCGAATGATTAGGTCTCATACATACTTCTTTTGGGAACCAAGAAGAAAGGTTGTTTTTGTGACATACTTAGAATTTCCTAGTTTCTTAGAATTGCTGAAAGAAAAAAACTGAAGAGATCATGAATGGATTCTGTGAATATATTTCTCAGAATATGGGAGGCCTTGCTTCCCTGTTCTGACTTGTGAGTCCCAGGTTTATTGAAATATTTTGAAGACTCTTTGAAGTTGTCAAACCAATATGCCCTTCACTCGCAAGATTATTTATTATTATTTTTTTCATTTATCTACTTGTAAGCGGAAAAATTATGGTCTTTGCCTATAGTGATGTTTAGCATGTCATAGCCTTTTATTAAAACGAAGAGGAAGAAGAAAACATGCTGATCTCACAACCCATTTATTTTTATCTAACAAGTCACATTTTACCAAACAGGGATTTTTGAGTGTTATCTGAATTCCTGGAGGCCTGAGAGTGCAAACTATCTCCACAACCGATGGATAAAGGTACTCTAATGTTTTTTCCATCATTAACCAACTAATTCCAATGGGTATAAGTAGAATTGAAAATGCTCATTTGAAAGTGAATGTTACTTCATTATGTATCTCTTCTCTTCAATATGCACAAGCAGGACATCTTACCATGACTTGTCTATTATGACACATACTGATCCTTTTTTATCACATAAATTGCTACTAGAATTTATGCAAACAATTTCTACTGAATAGTAATACGTGTCTTAGCTCCTGTATAACTGGCAGGATTTGAATTTTGAGCATCATCTGCTCTGCTTGATTTCCAGCCTCATCACCTAGTTTATCATTGTTTTGGATGATTTTACTATTAGGTTTTTGGATTCTAAATGTCGCAGTTTCAACATTATCATTATGTTTGACATTTGACAAGCTGTGCAAAAACTAGCAAAAGCATGGAAGAGTTTCATAATATATTTTGTTTCTCATGGCCAGATTTTGAGAATGAACCTCAATCGAATAATTTTCATGGACGAGGACATGTGTCATCAGACTGTAATATATATAGTACATCCATGCACCAACGTAGATTGGAGGTTTAAGGTGGATGAGTTTTCATCAATTAGGGTTTTAGTCCCAAGAATTTCCCTTTCTAGTTCCTATGTGTGTGTTAATTTTTAGTTCTTGCCACTAACATCTTGGTCCCTATATTTCCCCTCATTTAGATTTTAGACCCTGTAGTCATCTATTCATTAAGGTGTTGATCTTTATTTTCAGTGATATTGATCCTTATAGTTTTAACTTGTTAAGGTCAATGTTTTGAATCCCAGATAGTGACATGTATGGGCCGGCTCCAAAAATGCTATAGCGAGATTGCATATATCAGGATAACCACTATTTTGAATATTTTTTGTAGTTTATACATAATGTAAACCGTATACATGTAAATTCTAAAAGATTTCAAAATTATTGAAAATTAATAACATTCATAATTAACAATAAAAGTCACAAGTATCTTAAACAAAATTTACAAGTAAATACCAACAAATGGAAAAATACAAGTTTCATAGATAGAAAGAAAAAATCATCTTCTAACTCCAGGTCTTCTTCATCATTTCATTATTGTTTCATCTATAAATTTCAATTTTTGGAAATTAAAACCCTAGAAATAGCCCTTCAAAAAAACCTATGCCTTTGATCGGAGAGGTTTTTTGGAATCAACACATAGCTCCTGCCACGGCCGCCATTTGGTCCACCACATGTGTAGCAACAATCTGTTCTGCTACAATAGGCCCTGTAACAGGACTTCTTCCTGCTGAAGTGTTCTCTTTAAAGCCCTAATTATGGTACCAGCCCCTAAGGTACCAAAACCTTTGACGTTGGAATATATGGACCATATCCCCATAAAGATTTTATACATATATATATATATATATATATATATATATAGAGAGAGAGAGAGAGAGAGAGAGAGAGAGAGAGGAACCCACACACACACGTACAAGGACTTGGACCTGAGTGAATGAAAACTATAGGGATCAAAACCCTGTTTAAAAGAATCAAATTATGGAGGACAGCATGGTTTTCCATAGGAACAAACTTTGCGCATTTTAATATGTTTGTAGAATATAACTACATTCATGATATAAATAGGGTAATTTGAAATTCAAGAAGAATTAATGCACTTACTTGCCATGAAATGAGATTTCCTTTTGTTGTAGATGCTAAGGTGGACGAGAGTGTTGATTTGCGAACCAATGTGGAGTTGGTGAGATCAGTCTCTGATAAGCATCATGATCTTAAAAGGCCATCTACTCGGAACTATTCAAGAGGTAACAATATTGGTCATGTCTGTCTGTAGACTGGAATGCAAAATATATAATTATACTATTTGTTTCCAATTATTCTATTATAATTTGATTTTTCATGATTTCATGTCAACAAAATTAATATCAAATAGGATCTTTTAGAACCCAAGGATTAGTATGATGATGGCACCAATGGATTTTGTTTGTATCATCCTCGATTTCTTTTTTAATGGGGATGCGATGCGGCTAGGGATAGATGTTTCTGAATAATATATCTTACTTCATTACATCTATTGTTCTAAATGCAACCAATTTGGAGGTTTTTTTTTTGCTGCTTTCTCTCTTCCTTTGCAACTGTTACATCATAAAGAAACGAACTCTTCTCTGCATAATTGATGAATGCAACTGTCTTTTTTTCTTCACCATCATGTTTTCAGTGACTCGTGACTTTTATTTCCATTATATTTATATAATTATTGATAATTTCCCTCAGAACCTTACTCTTTGTCCTTGAGTTCAATTTCAAGGTCCAGTAGTCCCTTTACAAGAGTTTAGAGAACTTTCTCTTATAAGTACCTCGATAAATATGCATAAATTTTGAGCAAGCAGCTAATCTTTGAGAAACAAGGTCAAGAACAGGGTTGGGGATGACAAGTTCAGTCAATAATATAATTGCACAAATCGAAGTTTCTTCTTCAGAGTTGTCTCGATTTCAATGCGATTTTCTTCCAATGAAATGTTAAAATACCTTATGTCCGTGGCAGGACAAGCAACAGATGCAGGTGGCCATCGAAAGGGAAAGTATGCCTTGATTAGAGATCCAGAGAGCTTCCCAACTGGAATTTATGATAAGCCCCTTCCATTTTTTGGATGTGGAATTGGATGGTTCTCGTAAGTAATTTTCATCAACTATCTTCCCCAATTTCCCCAACTTGTCTCATGACTTTGTTTGTTAAATTGCAGATTTCTTTTTGGATTTTTATGCCCTCCTATGTGGTTCTATGCTACATTCCTCTATTTTGGAAATCATTATAAAAAGGATCCTAGGGAACGAGCAGGGCTGGGAGCCTCGGCAATTGCTGTAATCTCTCTCTCCCTTTCTCTCCATTCTCTGTCAATTTGTCCGTTCATGCATACATTTTCATATATTAACAACAATGTGGTGCACTGAAACAAAGTCTTCTGTCATAGAGGATTGGTTTGAGAGAAGGGCGTTACATACCTAGCTCAACTTGATCAAGCTAAAATAAACAAGAAACCTCTAGAAACTCCAGTTTACTGGCCACACTTTCATGGATCAATCACTTTTTTTGAAAATTGAATTATAGAAGTAAACAAACCGAATGAAATATTTTCATTCGATCTTTTTTTCAATTCTGCCGGCATTTAGTGACAGCTCAAAATATTTCATTTCATTGAATATTTTTGCAATATAGGCCCAACCAATTTCATTTTGTGATATATGTCTTGGCCAAACTATAACTTGATCAAGCATAATGAGCTTGACCAGTTATAGTGAGGATTGCTTTTCAATATGATTGTAGTTATTCTTGCCATATAAGTTCGTTTTCTGCATTGCAGATATTATGAATTATTTTTATCAGTGTGCTTGAGTGTTGTCTAATTGGCATGGTGATCAACTTGCAGGCATTAGTGTGCTCTGTGGTGTTGCTGATAGTTGTTGGAGGAATTCTTGTGTTTAAATTGCGGATCCTCTATTTGTAATTCGTGTGCAAAGATGAGAAATTGAGAAGCAAAAGCATTTGGAAGCAATTCTGGCGGGATATTAGAAACAGTTGGATATATGTTGTATATAAGAACTTCAAATAGATGAAAAAAGCATGCATGTTGTTTGTGAAGTAATTCACAGCAAGAAATCTGTCGGCAATACCATATGTTGAGAGAAGATGGTGTGTCATATATCCCATATTTCATTATTTTATGAACTGATGTATACTCAACAAGAAACCTTTTGACGAGTGTTTACCAATCTCCCAAAATAACTATAAATTTTATTTTATTTTTTAACCTTTGGGAAGTGCTGTATATGTTCTATACAAGAGAAGTGCAAATCACTGATACGCACTGCTAATCATTATTCTAGGGTTAGGGTCATGTTAAGCCGTAACACATGGAAACATTTTGGTCTAAAACTTATATTAACGAAATAAATAGTTTCTTTACTCAACTTCTCAAAAGAATTTAAAAAAAACAATTATTTCTTTAAAATTAAGAAAAAACAAACATGGAAATATATCCTCCCGTTGAAGAATTGTATATAACCTGTTATGTATAAATTGTATTCCTTATTATAGAAATTATACAGGTTAAAATTTGTGAATGTTCACGGGAAAATAAAAGCCAGAATCTCCCGTTGACAATATCATGTATAATTTTGACAATAAAAAATGATAGCTAGCTTCAGAACCACTAACAAGAAATCAGCATGCCATATCATGTCACTCTAAAACAAATTAGGAGTTAGATTTATTCAACTTCTGATTTGTACATCAAACAAGATCTTAGTAGATGCTGGCAAAATAACAGTTATGTTGCCCTTTTAAATGTTATATAACTACCTCTTACGACAACTGTTGCTTTCTTATTTTTAAGATGTTATGCGTATTTGTTCTTCAAAATAAGAAAAATACATATAAATTTTAAAAAATAAAGCATGTTAAATCGTAAGAATAATATATGAGATACAGAGTGTAAATCTAATTCTCAAACCAAGGGAGATCTAGGAACTAAATATTCGCAGTCAACAAGTACAATCATGCCTGATTTAAATTAAACTTGCTTGCTTCAATTGAAGAGTGTGCATATTGAAAAGTAAATTAAACTTGTCTTAAAATAGTTCAATTTAGGAGAATATCTCAAGGTCACACAAGATTATGCTGGGCAGATTCTACAACCAAGTGCTTGTAATTCAACAAACCAAAAAATCTCTAAGCCTTGATATTTTTTTTGGTTTTTCTACAAGATAATAACTGAATATTTGCATAAAGCAACAACAATGTATTCGATCACAAAAATTTTCTATGTGGCGTTGTTTTATGAATGAATCTCTACCAAGCAGTAAGATAATTACGAAAAAATAATATGGACTGTAGTGCTCAATCTTTGGCCATCAATCGCACATACTTGTTCTCAACTGCAAATCTGGAGCTGGAATTGATCTGCCCACACAAATTATTCATAAGAAAACAAATATATATAATTTTAAAGGGTGAATTAACTAAAACACTATCAATTATATCAATTTACCTTCTGCTCAAGTGCCTCACTAAATTCAGCTTCATCCACTGCAATGCCTGATTCCTGCAGTGCTTTGAGGACAACTTTTCTAAGTTTTTTCATCTTCAAAACTCCATCAGGATGCTGCCACAAACATAAAAAGCACATATAAGTGCTCTAAGGAAATTAGATGAAAATACAAATTTAGAGTAGACTCATTATGAACGTCGATGCCATAGCAGCTCTAATTTAAAACTCATTGATTTTAACCATCTTAAGCTCACAGTGTACGGATAGGATCAATAAAACCTCAAATAAATCAAGCACAAAACAAGAAAGGATGCCATTCTGAAATTCAAAAAGCGTACCAATTTCAAGGCTGATTTGATAAATTTCTTCCATTTTACTTTATTTTTGACAGCACTTGTACAGAGAGGTTCTATCATCCCTTCTTTCTTCAAATTGCTCTCTCCTGTTTCTTGTTCACCCTGAATTACTTCACCATTTCCCATGTCAACTGAAGTGTCATTCCTGCTTTTTTTAATAAGGTCAGCCTCCAATGCTTCAAGTTTCCTCTTTTTCTTTGCTGAAGAAATTTCATTCCTGGGTTTTGAGTCATTTTGTTTTGAAGGCTCTTGCAATTTTGGCAGTTCATCATTTTTGCCATCTCTCGCCTCATCAGCAGGAGTAGTCTCCACAATAGCCTTAGCATCACCAGTAGCAGATTTATCTGCCTGGGTTGGTTGTTGCTTTGAAGCATGGAATGCTCTTGCCTTTGCCCTGTGTTTCTTTCCATCAGCATGGAGAAGAAGTGTTTGCTTACTTGTAGTTTTTGTATTGCAAAGACTGCAGAGCCACAGAAAAGTAGAGCATAATATATCAGACAATACCAAACCAGTGACATAGAATATAAGAAAAATTTGTTTCTAGGAGAAGATTCCAGGCACGACGACCAGGGACAATTCAATACTATAACATACTTTTTAAAAGATTGTCTCAGACTCTCAGATGATAAGCCATTTTTGGCAGCTGACTCTAATTTTATTAAGTTCACAAACCACACAGTTAAAAGAAGGGAAGGGAGAGTGAACAATGTGCAGGTGTAGCTGACGATACCACCTAAAACAAAAAATATGTTCTGAACTACTAGCATGCATTTTCACAAGATTTATACCAAATCCGAATTGCCTTGCAGTCTACAAGTCAGTCAATATTAATGTCATTAGCAGCTGAAGATATCTTATTAGACAGGATTATAATCCTACATTAAACTTGTACACTAAACCCTCCCTCTTGGAAAAGGACGACAATTGGATTCAGACTCAATGGGTATCCACAAGAATTACCCATAATGGATATGATATTTTACACACCAAATAGGTCTGTGTTCAGAGATACGGATAATTACCAACAAAATTGTGTGCATGTATTTAAAACTCAATCCTTCCCATACTGGCGTACCATATATGCAATATGTTGTAAGTAGGATATCAAGGTATTAGACTTTTTTAGCAAATAACTTTATTTGAAATGTTTTATAATTAGGAATTATCCTTGAAGTTTTTTTTTTTTCAATTGTGTTATGTACTTCACTTTTGGTTAATACTCTTTCATATTGATTTTTCAGCAATATGTTTTATAATAGATATGTTTTATTAGTTTGTCAAACAAAAACATTAAAGGATACATATTAAAGTTAACCGAAAATATGTGCATTGGATTGGAATGGGTATATAAATCCCTAATTGAAAAAGGTATGGTTATTGAGGTTGCTACCTACACAAGCAGGGACTTGGGTATTGTAGTACCCTACTCATTGTCATCTTTACCCTTGCATAATTCAGTAATAAAAGGCATGTGATGCACATTCAAGTCAGTTCCCCTTTACATCCATTATTTACACTACCATAAAGTTTTAGAAAAAGACGAACTACAACCTTTATGATCCAGGAAACCCTTACGACATGGTAAAGAAACTCAAATGTAAGGAGTAAAAACACAGAAGTCTAAATTTCATAACTTTTTAAAACATATAATGACTGCATCTCGATAGACATTGCCTCTGTCATCTAAATGCATTGGCTATTACCATGGTACTAGAAATTGAATCCATTAGATTACATACCTACAGAACCAAGGAGGCCGCTCAGATAACCCCACATTAATATCAACTTCAGGCCTTTGCTTGTTATCCTTGTTAGGCGTGGCAGTTGCAGCATTCGCAGTTATGCCTTGGCCTTTTGGACCATACTTTTCCTGGAAATCAAAGTAAAGTAGAAGGGTAGAGAAAACAAGATATATATTTCTAAGACTTAAATGAAAATCCCTAAGCTGCCAAAGAATGTAGATAACATGAACACAAAGTTGACTCCTCTAAAGTAAGGAAAGTGTATAAAAATGAACATTATCCTCTAAAATGTTCCACTAACTTTAGATTAAAAATCTGAATTTCGAGACGACAACAACAATGGGGAGAAATAATTGATAATCGTCAGTGAGAGGAAACTTTCAAGAAGCTTCTCTAGTCAGATCAAATCAACTGAAAATTTCCAGCACTAAAGAGGTGAACTTAAACAAAAAAAACATTTATTTATTGAAAATAAAAAGTACGCACGTGACTCAATCATTCACAAATCACATTGAACAAATACGAGACATTGGGACGATCCATTAAGTAGAAAGCGAAAATGAGAGACTCACCGCTTCTGTAATGCACTGTGTGTGATTCTGAACGGTGTCACGCCCGAATATTTCCCCACAGTCAATGCACGACAACTGCATAACACAAAATAAATAAATAAAATCAACAGAAACAACAAAAATAGCATTACAATTTGCAACAGATTGTGAAGGATAATTGATGAAAAGTGGGATTGATTCAGAACTTTGTAAGCGGAGCAAGTTCGAAAGTGACTAGACAACTTGGGTTTTTTGAGGTTATCTCCGCAATCTTCGCATTGAAACCAAACCATGACTGAGATTTAACTTGCGCGTTCCGTTGCTACCCAGAACAAGTGAGATGTTGGTTCTGTTCTGCAACTTTTGGGGTTTAGAAGCAAGCTAGGGTTTTTCGCTTAGCTCCAATATTTCTGTGCCCTACCTCCAAAAATATTTTGTTTCTTATTTATTCATCATCTTCAACAAGATTAAAATTGAAAAAAAAAATACATATATCTTGATAATCATGATTATCTTTTATTCGTGTTTTATGTAAAATTAAGATTAATTCACTTATTAGTAACGAATCTGAAAATGTATATAAGAAATTTTTATATTATCATTTAATTATGAATTATTATTATTATTATTATTATTATTATTATTATTATTATTATATATTACATTTATCTAATTATTATATGGAAAAAAAATGTAAAACTGAAAGACATACAAATTTATTTCTAAATTAAGATTAAACATTAAATTTTATCTTCTTTAAACTTAATAGTTTATAATAATAATTTATTTTATCCATTAAATTATAAAATTATTACATATTTATTAATTTAATAATTTACAATAATAATTTATTTTATTTATTAAATTGTATAAAATATAATAAAGATTAAATACTCTTACTTTGAAGTAAATAAGTTCCCTATTGATATATTATTTATAAACATTAAACACTTATAATAAAAACTACTGTTAACGTTGGTTAAAACACCCACTATTTATCCTTTTGTCTTAAGTTATTTTTTTATTAATTTAATTTTAAAATACTTCAAATAATTGAAGCTTACAAAAATATGTAAATAAAATTACTTTATTTTCTAAAATATTTTTATAATATTAAAAACTATGATGTTGAACTATTTAATCCAAATACAATTAAAATATTTATAAAATATATATAAAAATAAAAAGAAAGATTATTTGAAACAAAACGGAAAAAATATTTCATTTTTAGTTCAGGTGATAAAAATAAATATTTAATCAATATATATATATATATAGAGAGAGATAACACAATTTGGATTTTGTTTTCTCAAAGTTTATATTACTCATTTTATCTTCTTCTTTTTTAATTTATTGTTTTTTCTAATTAATCAGAAACGATGAAACTATAGTAGTAAGTAAATGATTTTGTTTATTTTATGTAATTTAAATATTACTGAATTTATATTTATAAAAATGTTAAAAAAATGAAAAATAATAAAAAGTAAAAAATTTATCAAAATAAGATGTACTTTTAGACTAGGTGAGAGAATTATATATATGGAGAGTTGGGTGATAAAGAAATTATTTTAACATACATTATTATATTGTTAGAATGTATAAGTATTTATAATATTGATTAATTAAAATTAACTTTATTTTAAAGTAGTGATGTAAAAAAAAACTTTCAATTGATTTTTTACACTTAATTTACATATATCAACAAATTAGTATTAACATTTTTTCTTGTTTTTAAAAGTCCTTAAATTTTGTAGTTAATTCCTTGTTGACTATTTTTTGTTTTTTCCCTTAAATATTTGTCTTGAATATAATATAAGAGACAAGAAGTTCAATTTATTTGAAAATTGTAATAATTATGAAAAAAAACATTTAAAAAAAATTAAACTTTTGAAAAAACAACTTTTTGTAAATACTACAGAGATGTAACATTAGTGCAATTTTAATTATAATGCATTGATCTTTTTATTATTTTACATTTTCTTTTATGATAAAATAATAACTTTTTTACCAATTATTTTAATGTTTATAGCTTGCAATTTGTAAAAAATGTATATTGTTTCCTCATATCGAAATTAATTTCTATTAACATTTTGAGTTTTATTTTATACACTAATTAAAAAATCAATTTAAGTATAAATTTTATAATAGTTATGAAAGTCAACAAATTTACACGTCATTCTTATTTCCCAATATATATAAAAAAAGGGTAACAATAAAAGGTAAATAGAATTGGGCCTAGGAGCGACAAGAGCAAGGCCCATGAGAGTCAACCAAAGTTGAAGTAATATCCATAGCACAAGTGAGAAGAGAGCACAGCATAAGCATAATAGAGAAAAGCAGAGCAGAGAGAAGAATTGAGTTGGGTTTAGAAGAATTAGGATGAAGCTGGGTGGAATCAAATCGGTGGAGAACGCGCACGATGATTCCGTGTGGGCGGTCACATGGGTACCCGCAACCGCCAACCGCCCACCGCTCCTCCTAACCGGTTCCCTCGACGAGACTGTCAGGCTCTGGCGCTCCGACGACCTACTTCTGGACCGCACCAACACCGGCCACTGCCTCGGCGTTGCCTCCGTCGCCGCCCACCCCCTCGGCTCCCTCGCCGCCTCCTCCTCCCTCGACAGCTTTGTTCGCGTCTTCGATGTCGATTCCAACGCCACTGTCGCCACCCTCGAGGCCCCTCCCTCTGAAGTCTGGCAAATGCGCTTCGATCCCAAGGTATTAGCCTTTATCCTCTCTTTACACTATGCAGTTGTCTCAAACTAGCACGTGCCTTATTCGTTACGCTTAACCTCTCGTTCTTGTTTTGTGCTCGTGCGAAAACCTAAAACACTTAACTACCAATAATTCATCAACCGAGAGGAATACCTCTTGTTTGAAAATGCTATGCTGCCTTTTCTTTTATGGAGACTTTGACTAGTTCTGATGATAAAATATCGTAGAGAACCGGGGATTCTTTTGTTTAATTCTGATGACACGTGCTTTTTGAACCCTAAGTAAAAAAATAAAAAATAAAAACTATGTAGGTTATATCAGGACTCATTATTATTTACATTCTAAATGCTTCTTATATTTACTTATACATGCTTGTTACTGATGATTGTTGAAACTTATGATCAAGAAGTGGTGCACTGTTTCTTAATCAACGTTCTACAGGTATTATTTGCATTCTTATGCAGATGAATCTAGTTTGTGGAGAAAAGGTTTTATTTCCTGCCCATCCAAAGTAGAAACTGCCCGTGCTATATTATTTTTTCCTTGCATAAGAGCTATTTAGTACAAAATTTAATGAAAAAACAACAATATTTTCTTTAGAGAGAAGGTTTTGCATCCTACCCTTCCACTTCTTCAGATATTGTGAGAATGGGATTAACAAGTCTAAAACAAGTGGAAATTGCATGTGTTATGTTAATTTGTCTTGCATAAGAGCTAATTAGTTCAAAGAAATTTATAGAAAAAAAAAATTGACAGAACAAGTTTTTTTTGGGGAGAAGGTTTTACATACTACCCTGCCACTTTTTAAGATATTTTGTGGGAATGGGCCCCAAAAAAGCAGAAACTGCCCTTATGTGAATGTATGTTTCATTGATTTTCCCGCACGATCTATTTGGTACTAAGAAATTTACACGAAAAACCACAACACAGTATTTTGAGTGTTAATACTTGCCGTAATTGCTAGCTGAAGTAGAAATAGTCACTTCCAATGAAAACTCTGGATGTTATATTCGTTTTATTTCATAATGGGTTTTTGGCTCTATTATCTTTTCCCTTTTTCTGGTGATAGCTATGTTTCACAATTGCTGCATACGTTTTGAAATTGACTCTCTTATTGATTTTGTCGGCACTAGTGCACTGGCAATCTTAAGTTCTACTTAACATCAATTTTATTCGTTGACTTATAATTGTACCAAGTGCGGTGTCTATAGTTATACAATTATTACCTTCAGTTTTCTTGCCTTTTTTTTTGGTGTAAGACTGCTATCATTTTCAATGTTACAAAGTTTTGATCGAGATTAGTTTGATGTTTGCACATGTTTAATTCTACACTCATGTTAAATGTTCTTCAAATTATACTGTCTGCCTAGGGTCATTTGTTAGTTGTTACTCCGTTAAAAATTAGGTGAAAAACTCCGGTGTCAGTTTTATGTGAAATATTTATGAGAAAACTAGTCCACCTATATTTGGTCAACATTCTTAAAGGATTTTTGAAAATAAATTATAAGCATGAAATCTCAATCCCCAAATAGACCAGTATTACATAAACGGACTTGTTCAACTCCCTAAATTTTACTCTTCAAACTGCTTCGGCTATTTGTATATTGTTCCGTTGATTGACTGTAGTAGTAGGTGCCCTTCTCCTTTTATGGAAATTGTAATCATTCCACAATGAATTTGAATCTGCAATAAAGCAGAAACCATTATTTGCCTTGTGATACTAATGAAAATGAGCATTTCATCCCTGAATCTTTAAATTCATCCTTTTCACCATACAATAATTATTTTTAATCATCCTAGTTCCCTACTATCAGGGTGCCATTCTAGCAGTTGCTGGTGGGGGTAGTGCATCAGTCAAGCTTTGGGACACATCCACATGGGAACTTGTTACCACCCTATCAATTCCCCGCCCAGAAGGACCCAAGCCCACGGACAAAAGTGGCAGCAAGAAATTTGTGTTGTCAGTTGCATGGAGTCCTGATGGGAAACGACTTGCTTGTGGTTCAATGGATGGCACCATTTCTGTTTTTGATGTGCCACGTGCCAAATTTTTACATCACCTTGAAGGTCATTTCATGGCTGTGCGATCTCTTGTTTATTCTCCTTATGATCCAAGGTTACTGTTTACAGCTTCGGACGATGGTAACGTACACATGTATGATGCTGAAGGGAAAGCTTTAGTTGGGACCATGTCAGGTCACGCCAGTTGGGTATTGTGTGTGGATGTGAGCCCAGATGGAGCAGCCATTGCCACAGGTTCAAGTGATAGATCTGTAAGGCTATGGGATCTTAGCATGAGGGCTTCTGTGCAGACGATGAGCAACCATACAGACCAGGTATGGGGAGTGGCTTTTAGACCACCTGGAGGGAGTGATGCGCGAGGCGGTCGTCTTGCTAGTGTGTCAGATGATAAGAGCATATCACTGTATGATTATTCCTGATTAGATATAGCACGCTGTATTTGTATTCTTTCTGGAATGTTGTTATCTCATTACACTGCTTGTCGACAAATTGATTTTCAATTGAAGGAAAAGTGTGATCTTTATATTCATCTTTTATTGCCAATTACCAGTGTTGGATAACAAGCAAAAATATATGTGATCCTGCATGTTCTAACCAAGGTCCGAACTTGGATATTCCTAGCTGAAAGTTGAAGAGAATAATTTCCTGAGGATACTAAGTTGTTTCTGAAGTCAGAGATTGATTTTTCGTGATACTAAATTTCACTTTATCCAAACAAACAAAACTCACCGCAAAATTGTGAGCCCACTGCTGATTACTTAAATATGTGGTATAATTTTGTTAGGCGGGGCACTAATTTCGTCTGCTAGTAGTTGCAATGTCGTATGGGAAAAGCATAAAATCTCCCGCTGATTGTCACGATGAGAAGCTGTACGTTTTTGGGTAATCATTACAAAATTTGTCACGGATAATCGTTAGTTTTAGAGAAACAAGTTTAATTAAAAATTAGTATAAATTCAAGCAAATCAACCGATGTAAGTTGACAAAAATTAAATCAATTGTTGGTAGCTAGAAAAAACCTAAACATGAAATCTTCCACGACCTATCAGTTTCGTCTATAGTCAAATGTGTTATTAACGACGCAATCATGTTTGACTGTAAATATAATCAAGTTTTTGGCAAATAAAAAAGGTACCAATTATCATTGCAGAGTGACGGTGTCTGCTGGCTAAAAGGGAATTAGATTTTTCAGCAGGAAATGTTTCTGGTAAAGAAAAAAAAACTAACCAGAGACATATGAATGCAAAATCCTTTGTACAAAATCTTAAACTAAATAGCTAAGCTACTGTCGATAGCTTAATTTCAAGATTATTTGATGTGACTACACTTGCAACAGAGCATCTAAAATCTCTTGTAAAAGTAACCAGCAACTGCTACTATACAGGGAGGAAAGAGTTCCTCTGGGTAGTACTATACACGGAGGAAAGAGTGCCTTCACTATGCTCCATCGTCCACGACGATGTTATGCATGCAAATATGCAATGTGTGACCCCAGAAGCCAGAAGCAGATTGTTGAAATGAAAACCCCCGAATATACTTGAACCAAATCTTAATCTTACAAATCTAACAAGGATCAAAATTCAAGAACAGAAACATGTTAAAAGAGCTGAAGCACAAAAACCCAAACTAATATCTTAACTTACTTGGCTGCAGCAGTGAGTCAAGACTTATTATTCTTGGGGGACTTAGCGTGCAAGAAATCCTTGAGCACATCCATGACAGACCCAAAATCCGCCTTAACGGAAACGGGAGGGTTAGCAAAACGCCCCATTCCAGGAATGGCCCCAGAGTGATAATCAATCTTACTCTGCGCAAACTTCAAGCCATGTGCAGTGCTCACCACCACAACCCTCTCCCCCCCTCCAATAACCCCACGATTCCTGAGCTTAATAAGAGCAGTGAGAGCCACCCCAGTGTGCGGACATATAAACATGCCAGTAGAATCAGCCTGCACCATCGCATCCATTAGCTCCTCCTCCGTCGCCTCCTCCACAATCCCCTCCGAATTCCTCAAAGCATGCACCGCCCTGTCGATAGAAACAGGGTCCCCAATCTGAATAGCAGACGCAAAAGTAGTGTTGGCCTTCACAGCCTTAAACTCGTTCCACCCATTCTTGTAGTACAAATACAAAGGGTTCGCATTTGCAGCCTGAGCACAAACAAGCCTCGGAACCTTCTCCACAAGCCCCAAATCCTTGCACATCTTAAATCCCTTGTAGAACGCGTAAATGTTTCCCAGATTGCCCCCGGGAACAATCACCCAATCCGGAACCTCCCAGTTGAACTGCTGCAGAATCTCAATCGCCGCGGTTTTCTGCCCCTCCAGCCGCAAACTGTTCAACGAATTCGCCAAATAAATCGGCAATTCCGCGGTTATCTCGCGAATCAGCTTCATGCAGCCGTCGAAATCGGAGTCAATGCTCAGCACCAGAGCGCCGTTCGAAACCGGCTGGATTAGCTGCGCGGTGGAGATCTTGTTCGCCGGGAGGAACACGATGGATGGAATTCCGGCGGCGGCGCAGTACGCGGAGAGCGCAGCGGAAGTGTCCCCGGTGGAGGCGCAGCCGACACCGACGACCGGGCGGTTCATCTTGCGTAGACGGTTGACCTGGCTGACGAGCACCGTCATGCCGAGATCCTTGAAACTTCCGGTGTGGCTGATTCCGCAGTGCTTCACCCACAAATCGTTCATTCCGACGAATTGTTTCCCGAACCGTTCCGCCCAGAAGAGATTGGAGTTCCCTTCGAAGGCGCTCACGATGTCGTCGGGGTCAATTTCCGGTAGGACCCACTCCTTCTTGCTCCACACGCCGGACCCGTACGGCCACGTGGTCTTCCCCACGCGCGAGTCGAAGAGCGTGCGCCAGTACGCTCCGTCGAATCTCTTCAGCGCCTCCATGTCGTGCTGCACGTCCAGTAGCCCCCCGGAGCGACTGCGGTACACGATTTCGTCGAGCGAGTACGATTCCGGCGAGTCGAAGCCCGCGTTGAAGGGAACATACTTGGCCGTGAAATCGTGCGCGGAGGCGGCACGGTGGCGGCGCGCCTCGTCCTTGATGTTGGGCGGCGGAGGCGAAGGAGCGGAATGGTTGTTGTTGGTGAGGTGGGAGGAGGAGGGATCGAATGTGGAGGAGGTGCATGACACGACGATGGAGGCGCATCGATTTTTATTATTTGGGATTGAAATTAAATGGTTGGGGAGAGTGGAGGAGAAGGAAGGGTTGAACAGAGACGACATCATTTTCCTTATTATCGTTTCTTTTGGAGAATAAGCGTAAACGAAGAAGTGAAGTGAGTGATGAAATATGAATGGTTGTTATCTTCTTCCACCACCCAGTAATTGATGCCGTTATTCTAATGCCTCGAGTTAAATGCGGTGAGAGATTATTTTTTTTATTTTAAGTTTTATTTTGGAATCAATTATGTTGGATAATTAGGTGGAAGGTGATGCTACCCTGGAACCTGATTCTGAATAATCAAATGGAGTGTGTAGCATCAGTTTCTCTGGACTTGCCAACCATGATCGGATTCTTGCTAATGGAAGATATCAATCAAAAACTTAAATTTATGATTACTGCTGAAGATATCTTATGGTTTTTACTGTTCAATTACCACTTTTAAAATATCATTTCTCATTATGATAGGTATCAAGTTTCATTTTGTATTCATCTTGACATAAATATTCTTATCACTTTTTAGTTACCACCAACTACTTACCTGTTTTTTTTTCCTAGTACAGAAAATGTAAATTATTGTCCTATAATTTTTTTTAAATTTATAGAATAAATAAAATAATATTTTCAAATGAAGTTTTGATATTCTAAAACACTTTTATTTTGATGATGAAAGTGATTATGAAGTTTGTTATGTTATGTTTTATCTGTTTTTAAATATTGGAAATGATTTTTTATTGTTAATATTGTATAAATTAATTAATAATTTTGATTGTGTTATGGTTTTATTTGAAATGTTTAATGATGTGTTAATACATTAATTTTTTTAACATATTATAATGTATTTAAGACAATTAATGTTATAATAAAATTATTGTAATCAATTAAAACATCTATTTATTTGATTAAAAACACGGGAACATTTTAAAATAGGAAGTTTAATATACATATTTTAATAATATTAATATATTATGTAGGTTGATATTTTATAATTTGACTCTTTATTACATTTTAATAGATTCAGTCAAAGTCAAATTATAGGTTATAAGTTTTGATATCTCATTAAATTAAAGAATTGTCAAAGTTTTCCAACCTCGTTAAAAGAGTTAAATATTTTTATGTTGAATATTTTTTAAGTTATTTTATTTATTTTTTTCTTAATTATTTTTATCTCAATCAAAGGGTTTTACAAATTATGTGTATATATATTTTTAGGATTTAAGATCTCAAAAATTATAAACACTAAAAAAAAATAAAAGAAGGGAGAATTTTATTAATATCTAAAAATTTGTTACAATGAGTAAAACTTTTTTCATTTATAACAAAATGAAGGGTGTAAAAATCCTATTCTAAGTGTTGTTCTATTATTTCATTGTTAGTCAATGGTTGTTAAAGTTGGAGAGAAGAAAAGATTTGGTAATAAAAAAAGGATGAAAGTGTTATTTGCACGTATTAAGTTATATATTTAGTTATTTTTGTAAAAATATGATTTTATTCATATCAAATTGTAATTGTATTTGTTGTTTTATTGTTTTAACATACCCCATAAGTTAGAACATGATAAATGTCAATCATTCTCAATTTGAAAATGAATGGAGTGAATACTAAAAGAGGTAATGTTTTTGTAATTGGTAGTAAACCTAAATCTTAAAAAAAATTCAGTTAATTACTCTTTGGATGAAATTGGTAGTCAACCTAGGATTCCTTCTTGAAGTTTGGTTCCAACAAAATGATAATCAATCGTTAAGTGTTTAGTTCTTTAAAGAAAAATTGAGTTGACAATTTTGATCATCACAATAGAGAACTGATGCTCTATAATAAGTAATGTGTACGTCACATAAAAGAAATAACAATCATTATAACTTATAACCAACTGTAGATAGTGTCTTGTACTCAACTTCAAAGGAAAATCTTAAAACTATTTGTTGCCTCTTTGGTTTCCAAGAAATTAATGATGAACCAAAAAAAAAAACAATAGCCTGAAATGAGTTTTCTATAGTCAAAACAACTAGTCCAATCTGCATAAGAGAATCCTAGTAGTTGAATTTCTTATTTCTTGGAAAAACAAACCTCTACATGAGTTGTTTTTAAGATATCTTACTATTATGCAAGTAGCTTGGTAGTGTGTCAATGTTACATCTTTATATGGCTTTCCTGTATCTTGATGTAACTTGATTGAATGATCAAGTGAAGTTTTGGAAGACTTTGATCCAAGTAGACTGGATTCATATGTAAAATATCTAAAATATTTCCTCATAGATTCATATTTCCAATTTGGAACGGGCCACCTCCAATCCAAGGAAGTATTTTAATGAACCTAAGTCCTTGATTTTTTAAGTTAGAGACAAGAATAGCCCTTATTATAGTGAATTCATTAAAAAATTTGTTTGCAAAACCATATCATCTAATTAGATGAGAAGAGCTATGAAATTCTTCCCATTTTTGAAAGTGAGCAGTAAGTGACCTACATTAGATACTTAATATCCTTGGCTAAGATGCAATGAAGTGAGTTTTTCATGTCAATTTTTGCTTACTTGCTTGAAACCATATAAGGACTTGAGTAATTTGAAAACTTGACTAGGTTTTGAGCATTTGACACCTTGTGGAATAACCATGTAAGAATGTATTGTAAATGTTACTTGTAAGCAAAAGCCATAACCAGAAGCCCAAGTCACCAAAATTCTCACTGGTGAAACTAGTGAGAAAGTATAAAAAAAAAAATTAAGACCTTTCACTTGATTATAACCTTTAGCTAGCAACTATAGTTTTGTATCTCTGTAGACCTATCTGCTTTGTATTTGACCTTTTAGACCCATTTATTGCCAATTAGTTTCACATTTTCTAGTTGATCTATTATTACCCATGTACCACTCCTTTCAAGAGCATCTAATTTAAACTTCATGACATTATTTCAACATTTAAGATATATGTGTGGCTCATGAATGTGTGGGATGGAAAGTGAATAAGCATGATGTGCGAGGGATGAATTTAAGAAGGAATGGAAATATGAAATGAGGTTGGAAGTACATGAGATAATTATTTCCTTTGAATTGCTTGAAACGTCACTTAAATAGTCACTGAGATGTTTTGGTGGATGCCTTTGCCTATGTGATTTCCTTAGTGTTTTAGCAACCATGCCTAAATTGGTAGATGAATTTGGAATTAAGATATGTTTTGCAACCTCTTTATAAGTGTCAACAAGTGTTGTAGAATTTGTTACAGGAATGTTAGCGGATCTAAACCAAGTCATGAATTGGGGAGCATCACTTTGTTGGTGGTAGGATGGTGATGAATGATAATACCAAGTAGATAAAGATTAGGAAGACTTATATGGAAGTATATGTTCATGATGAGTGACATTTTAAGGAAAAAAAAAATCTCCTTATTGTTGAAATCCAATAGGACAACCCTTTAACACCATGTTTATACCAAGAAAGATGCATTTTCCAACTCTAAGTGCAAGGTTTGTTCTGTGTTTGAGATGTGGACGCATAGCACAAGGAGCTAAGAACTTTTAAATTATGCAGGTTAAGTGTGTGCTTGTGAAATAAGAAGTAGGATGATTTGTTTTCAAGGAGAGTACTACTAGGTATTATTTATTAAGTATGTAGCATGGAGAATAACATAGATCAAAACTATTTTGGTAATTTTTATTAGAAAATGAGTGTTTTCTTTGTACTGGGAACATGTTGATGCTTCCTTTCAATTTTATCATTTTGTTGTCAGGAATTTCACACAAGTTGTTTGATGTATTATTTTTTATTTTTTAGCATAAAATTGTGGTATAGTTAGAGCTGTTAAAACAAGTGGTCAAGTCCAGTCTAACCTATATTTTAAAACGAGTCAAAATTTTATATTAGTAAAATCCTATATTAGGTCAATGGGCTTACGGGACAATTTTGGCTTGATTAAAATTAAAAAAAATATTAACATATATATACCAAATTAATTAATTAAAAATATATTTAAATAAAAATAAAAACATTTTTTTAAAATTTAAATTTTGTTAATAAAATTAGTTTTTATTTAAGATATAATAATTTAATATATAAATTTTAAGAAAATACATTCATTCAATCTCAAAATAAGATAAAAACTTACTCTTTATTATTATTATTATTATTATTATTTATTTATTTATTTTTTAGTAATTTACTAATTTAAATAACATTTAATTTTAATCATTAAATCTTAAAATAAATTATTGTTAGAGATTTATTTTGATATTTATTCTTAGAATAATTGAATCTCTTGTCAAATTAATTAAAAATACATATATATTTTTTAATAAAATAATATTATTTTTATTTTTATTTAAAAAATATTTTTATACTATAAAACAGATCGGTCCATAAGCCTATAGACTAGTCTAACTTAAGCCCCAGTTAATGTAAAATAAAATAAGGTGCAAAATTTTAAGAAAATAAGTTGCAGAATTTTAAGCAATAAAGTAAGTAAATCCAAGAAAAATTCTCACTGGACATTACGATAGTTGTCTATCTAGATGTAAAAGTTCATTTCCAAGGATTATGGAGGGAGGAAGAGATGGAATGAAACTATAAAAGAATAAAGACAAGGACTGAAAAAATGGATCAACCCCTTGGATAAATCAATGAAGTGAAGAAATAAAGAAGAAAAGAGGAAGATAAAAGAAGTATGGTGGTGGAGTGTTGACACGTCACTAGGGGATGAGCCACCCTAGATAAGTGGTGGTTGCCGCCACTTGAACCAAGGTTCAAGATAAGACACTAAAAAAGATGGAACACTCTAAGAAACTTCACAAATTTTTCATAAATGTTCAACCTCATTAAATGAGGGGAAACCTTCTATTTATAGGCTTTTGGGGGAGAGACCTAGATGGAAATACAAAAAGGAGACATAAATTTAACATAAACCTAAAGGTTAGAGTCCTCATGGTCCAAATATATTAAATTCGTTCTAACCCACCAAAAATACCTCTAAAGGTGTGGAGACATAAAAAAAGAGGTGTGCTTCCTTTTGGATTGTCCCAAGCCTATCAATCTCGCATCCTAAGCTTCTTCCTCTCTAAAGAGGGGTGTAAGACATG